ACTGAACTTCTTTAAAGCTTTCTTCTTTAATATGAAGTTCTGCTGTAGATTAGATGAGCGATACAAAGTTTTGAAAAGGCTAAAAACTGAAATCTACTTTACAAGAAGAGGAGAAGGGGAAAAGCCCTGTGTTTTATTTGAGCTATGCTGGAGACAAGAAAAACTTCTTTAATCGCCACAATAGTGACAATATGTAAAGAACCATGTGACCACAGCCCATTCCCAATGCTAAATCAACACCTTGTCAACCCAGAGCAACCATGGACGAGGAAAACAAATGCCATTTTCTCAGCCTAACCTCCACAGAGACCCCCACACGATGAAATGATATTCCCAACAGATATTACATGTTATAAAAAGTCACAGTAGGGAACTATCATCAATGATACACCAGTGTACAATCAAGAAAGTCAATTATTTTGTGTAGTATTCTTGAAAAATACATTTCTTATTCCCACTTCACTCATTTCAGAACCTGAAATAAGACTAAGTTTCTAGACCTGTCTTGAAGGACATTCTCGAAGTTGCCTTGAATAGAAATCTGGGAGCTTGTGAAACTTGAAGATGTATCTAAGGTTGTAATTTTTAGGAAATTTTTATGTAGAGGAGGGAAATACCAATGAACATACATCAATGGCTGAAACTAAAAGCTTTAGAGTACTAAAAATTGGTAAAAACAAAACCTCTTTTATGAAAGTGCCTACAGGGGCAACCAGCGACTTCAACCAGAAAGCTTCATGTGTGACTCCTCAGTTATCTTTGGGTTACTTGTTTAGAAGAATATTGTCAACATATTATTGATAAAGTCTAAGAGGGGCTGCAGAGGAGTTGTGAGTGGAGCAGTATCCCTAAAGAGTAGCAATATTTAAATCCATTGCACTTGGTGATTAAAAACAAGTATTCTTGGTTAAGAAAACTCTCTCTGTGACACCACAGGACCTGCCCTAGCCGGTGAAAGCACACCACACGAATGCCACGGTCATGAAGATTAAGTTAGGGGCTTCAATAAAGAGCTGCCTTTACTTCTCTACTTTATAGAAAACCAACACCAAACACAAATATTAACACACCATGACAGTCAAACCTCAGTGGAGGGTTATCTACTGATTGGCTTTAAGTATTTAAGTCACATATACTTGACCAAAACCCTTTCAAATTCATCTTAAAGTCTTAATTCACACAACTCCTCTAAAGTTCAGAAGAATTTGGCCACAACCCTATTATCATTTATGATGCTAATAAGTATCACTTTGTTACTATATAAAAATCAGGTCTTGATCTTTTTACACCATTTGAAAGTACTGGCAGCTTAATGAAGACTGGAAACATTTGACATGCTCATAAGGTTTAAGAAACACTTGCACCTTAGAAGTGAAAACCTTCTAGGTTCCAACATAGAAACTGCCAACTAAGCAAGCAAAAATGCATCAGACATACAATGGTAAAAATAGTCAATAGTTAAAACTTGCCATTATGGCATACTTAGTTGGGGCTGTCAATTTGATTGGAGGCCTAATACCAGTAATGTCAAGATGAAGGAAAACAGAAGCAAGTTCCTATTATGTTAACAATTGGCTTGACTATTGCAATCTAAGAAATGCAAATGAATTTCAAAACCCCAGTAGAGGCTCACAGCCCAATGCAAGTATGGGTGAAGTAGGGGTTAGCTTGGCTCCTAGGGAGAATTCTGCTTCATGCTCATCCTAGGACTTGGTAGAACATCAAGTACAATGAAACGCTCAATTTTCTTACAAAAGTGTGTGTATGTGTATACACAAGTGCACACACCATGACTTATCCATGACCTTAAAGACATTGTTACTAGATGTATAACTTACACAGGTAAGTTATTTCAAACACTTGCACTCTGGGGTAGAAGTATGGGAATGCACTCAAGTATTAAAAATTTATAAATTTGCTCATAAAATCAACCTCTGAGAGATTCTGATTAGACCACTTAATTCAAATGTTAACGTGGTCTCATAAATTAGTATATATATACTGTCAACAATTTGCATCAGTAAGTTTCAAGTGTTTAATATAGCTTATAATGTGTTTCCAGAATTTGAAGGTTAAAGATATAAATTGAACTACTCATAACATTCCAGGTCCCACCAACCTACACTTGTATTTGGAAAAATATGCCCAGAATTTTGCCTAGTTTAAGGGAAGGGGTTAATGCAGCCTTCTCTTTCAAATATTGAACCGTGACAACTAAGCCCACTAAATCCTTTTATTGCAATTGGAAATGATCAAAGTCTCTCTACTTGTTTATTTCCAATTATTAACTGTAAATCTCTGGGAATAAAAGATCAGACAATATCGCTGCCAAACCCAAAAGACTGCGTAATTATATTCAATCACTTTTTGGTGCCTCTTTTCCAAAGCATCTCTTTACCATATGACCCATGCTGACATTTAGCAAAATCTTTAAAACATTGTGGACTTAAGTCACGGTTCTAAGTGCATCCCATTGTAGAGGGTGAGAGGAAAACTGTCGTCTCCGAGAGGGTAAAAGAGAGGAAAAAGCTGAAAGAAAGGGAACCTCCTGCAAGACGAACGTCCAGTCACCATCATCCTTCCAAAAAAAAGCTCCAAATTTGAAATGGCCACTTCCCAGTGAGCACGTCCCAAGTGATGTTTAGATAACTCACTCAGGACTAATAACAAACAACACCTTGAAAACTTTACCATTTTAAACACAAACGCAGGAAACCTTGCAAACAACTGGGAACCGCCATCTTACAAGCCATCCAATTTCACACAAGTGTCCCTCCAACTTAAGTTAATAACATTTTTATTTGGGCTCCCCCCAGGCTAACACTCACCTTGGCGGGACCGCTGCCCCCCACGGAACCCGTCCCTATAAAATGGGGGCGTTCTCTGGCGGTTCACACCCCCCCAGAGCCCTTTCTTCGGGAGAGGAGGGGAGCCACTTGACCCAAGCAGCTCCCGATTTCAGGAGCCCGTCCCCGTCTCATCCAAATCTACCTCCCAACAAAGGGCGCCGCGGCCGCGGGAGCCGCAGAGGCTGCAAATACAAGTGTTCTTCTCGGGGGCCATGTGCGTCGCGAGGGTGCAGAGGGGCGCGGGGGGGAGAAAGGAACTAAAACGTGGGGCCGCGCGCGGCGGC